CTTGTTTATTCGTAAATTCTTCTCCTACCTATAAGTCTGATAGTGTCCCATGTTCTAATTTCCTTTGTATCTAGGTCATGTTTCCATTTTGACTTTACCTTGGTAAATGGTATAAGATATTGGTTTTTACCCAATTTCTGCCAGACTGCTTTTCAGTTTTCCCAACAATTTTTAAAAATATTATATTATTATCCTAAAAGCTTAAATCTTTATATTTATCAAATACAAGGTTACTATAATCATTTACTACTGTATGTCTACTCTGTTCTACTGATCCACCTTTTTATTTCTTAGCTAGTACCAAATAGTTTTGATAATGACTGCTTTATAATATAGTTTAAGATCTGATACTGCTAAACCTCCTTCCTTAATTTTTTTCATTTATTCCTTTGATATTCTCGACCTTTGTTCTTTCAAATGAATTTTATTATTATTTTTCTAGCTCCATAAAATAATTTTTTGGTAATTTAATTGAGATGGCATTGAATAAGGAGATTAGTTTAGGTAGAATTGTCATTTTTATTATATTGGCAACATCTCTTGAATATACCTGCTTCTCTCCTCTCACACTCCCAGTACTGGTTCAGACTTTCATCACTTCACACCTAGACTATTGCAATTGCCTGCTGGTGGATCTGCCTGCCTCAAGTCTCTCCCCACTCCAATCCATTTTCCAATCAACTGCTAAAGTGATTTTCTTAAAGTACAGTTCTGATCATGTCACTCCCTACTCAATAAACTCTAGTGGCTCCCTATTGCCTCCAGGATGAAATAGAAAATGCTCTGTTTGGCATTCAAAGCCTTTCATAACCTAGTCCCTTCCTACCTTTCCAATCTTCTTATACCTTATCCCCCAACATGTACTCTTCAAGTGACACTGGCCTCATGGAAGTTCCACAAACAGGGGCTCCAGGAATTTTTTCTGTCTATCACTCATGTGGAACATGCTCCCACTTCAGAAATTCCATTTTTTACTAGAAGCCTTCCCTAACTATCCTTAAGTTCAGTGCTTTCTCTTTGTTAATTATTTCCTATTTATCGTATGTCAGCTAGGCATCCAAGTGGAGGGGGTGCCAGGCCTGGAGTTGGGAAGACTTTTCTTCCCACGTTCAAATCTGGCCTCAGATACTTACTACCTGTGTGACTCTGGGCAAGTCACTTAACCTTGTTTCTCTCAGTTTCCTCATCTGTAAAATGAGCTGGGGCAGGAAATGGCACACTATTCCCATGTCTTTGTCAAGAAAACCCCAGATGGAGTTATGAAGAGTCAGACATAATGGAACAGTCCAACAATTTATCCTGTATATATCTTGTTTTGGATATATTTGTTTGCATGTTGTCTCCCCCTTTAGATTATAAGCCCCTTGAGGGCAGGGACTGTCTTTTGCCTCTTTTTGTAATTCAAATGCTTAGCACAGTGCCTGGTACATAGTATATACTTAATAAATGTTGATTGATTGAACCCTTCCAAAAAAAACCAAAACACCTCAACTTACCTCTGTAGCTTAGTTCCCTCTAAAACCACTGCCCATAATGATTTCCCCAATAATACTACTTTCCCCATAAACTGTCGCTGTCTCTGATGCCTCCATAGTGAGGAACTTAGTTTGTAAAAGTCAGTAGTAATGGCACACAACCTAGGTTGGACACAAAAGCCATGATCCTGTATGAAATGTCAGAGAAACAGACCAGGATTGTAATGAATCCTAAGTACAAATAAAAAAGTTGTGGTTTTTTCTTTAACTATCTTGGTGGAAAGATTTTTTTTTTAAAAAAGGGATAGAACTATTACTCTGGTTGGATGATGACAGCTTATGATTGAGAGGAGGTAGAACTAGTCAATTTCTAGTTTACTTCTCACTTCTTTACTAAGGAGAGTGAGCTTTAGTCTGAGGGTGGAACAAAAATGTTTAATTGTACAGTGAATAATAGAGGTCCTAGCTGTTTGGAATCACCAGGTTGGAAAGAACTGAATATGCCAAAATACTGAAGAAACTAGCAGATGTGATTAAGTTGCTGTTGATGATCTATGAAAAGTCATGGAAAATTTGAGAGGCACTGCAGGCCTGTAGATAAAACTGCTTTCAAAAATGTGCATTCTATATACCATAAATCAGTAAACTTGACATCACTGAGGTTGAGAGGTTAAATTATTTGCCTAAGACCATACAGATCCAGTCAGTCAACTGGCATTTATTAAAGCACCTACTATGAGCCAGGCACATACAGAGAAAGGCAAAAATCTGTCTTTGCTCTCAAGTAACTCAGCCTAACGGAAGAGACAACATGCAAACATTTATGAAGAAACAAAGTATTTCATACGTGTATGTATGTATGTATATGTAAATAGCATAAATTGGAGATAATCAATGGAGGGAAGGCACTAGCATTAAAGCTATTCAAAGTCAGGTTTCCTGACTATACTTTTGCATGCTATACTCACTGAATTTCAGCAAAGCATTAAAAATTTCTCTCTGACATCTTCATGGACAAGATGGAGAAATGTGGCTTCAGATGGATCTGAAGCTGGTTGAATGACAAGACATCAACCTTGAAGCAATTCTCTTATAATTAATATGACACAGGGCTTTGCCACTGACCTGAATGTTCTGATTAACAAATTGGGCAAAGGCCAAGTTAAGTATGCCTATGATTATTTGCGGATTAAACAAAATTGGGAGATAAGGCTAATATGTAAGATAACAAAATTGGGATCCAAAATTATGATCTCAATAGGAGGAAATCTAACAAGATTAAATTTAATAAGGATAAAGGCTTGTACTTGGGTCAAATAAGTTGAACTAATCTTGCAAAAACATTAGAGGGTTTTCATGAATTATAAGCTCATTATGTCAAAAGTGTGGCATGACTACCAAAAAAGCAGCCAGGTGGTACAATGGATAGAAAGACCTCGAATTGGGAAGACCTGAATTTGAATCCCGTCTTAGATACTTCCTAGCTATGACTCTGGGGAACTACTTAACCTCTCTGTGCCTCAGTTTTCTCATTTGTAAAAAGGGGATAATAATAGCACGGAGTTCTCATGAGAAACAAATGACAACATATGTAAAGTGTATTTGCAAACCTTAAAGTGCTATATAAATGCTACTAATTTTTTTGAAAACCCAATAATTTGATCATAGTCTGGATAGATATATTGCGTTGTATTCTGCCCTGATCAGATCACATCTGTATTATTATGTCTCATTCTGGGAATATTTTAAGGGGGGACACTGATAAAATGGAGTTTGTCTAGAAGACCAGGATGGTCAAGAGGACTGGAGATATCAAATAAGGATCTGCTGAAGGAACTGAGGAAACTCCTCCTGATACAGTAGCTATTTTCCAGTCTCTGAAGGGCTGCCATGGGGGAGAGAGTTTAGATCTATTCTGCTTGACTCGAGACCGTCAAATTAGAAGCAATAGGTGGAAGTTGCAGATAAGCAAATTTCAATGCAATATTAAAAAGCAAACTTTCTGCAATAATCATCAAAACTATTTGGCACTGAATAAAAACAAAAATAGAAAAGTGGATGAGTGGGAGACACTAGATAAGAAAGAATCAGAAATAATTGAACTACAAAAAAACAAAAAACTCTTATGTCTGATAAACCTGAGAAGATAAACTCATTGAGGAAGAGCTTGAGGTTTGATAAGAATTGTTAAGAAAACTGAAAAGCCATGTGGCAGAAGTTAGGCTTAGGTTAACATCTTACACCATATACTAACAGGCTCAAAATGGATACGTGACCCAAATATTAAAGGTCACGCCATTAAAAAGAAACACAACCAAAAAAACAAACAAACAAAAACCAAATCTAAAGAGAATGACAGCAGATACCATTCACAGCTATGGCTAAGGGAAAGTTCTTAACCAGAAAAGGGAAAGAGGCAATCACAAAAGATAATAATTGTGATTACAAGCAATTGAAAAATCTTAGTAATTAGGATAAGAAGAAAAGTTGTGGGAAAAAATTACGGGAAAAATATTCGCATAAAACACCTCTGATATCCAAGATAAAGAGAGAATACAAATATAGAAAACAAAGAGCTATTCACCAATGGCTAAGTGGTTGATCAAAGGATATGAACAAACATTTTTCCAAGGAAGAACTGCAAATCATCAACGGTAAGTGAAAGCAGACAAAGCCTGCTTCTTCTTTTAGAAACATTAAGAAAACATTTAAATGTTATCTTAATTTAAAGAAAAATTATCAATTCTGAAACAGTGTCCTGCTCCCTTCTAATTGGCTCAGGAGAGACTCTTCCCTTGAATTAGGGCAGTGACTTGACAAGGGACCCCAGTGAAAGTTAGGTCAGTATAGACCAGCTAGGAAAGAGAATATTTGAAGGAAATGGTCAAAGAGGTACTGAATGGTTTTAGAAAAACGATTCTCCAAAGGTATGCCAAAATTTAAATAACCACTGTCCTACTTGATGTTATAAATTGTTAAGTAAACTTTGACCCCGAATTTATGTAAACCATGTTTCATCATATTTAATATGAGATTTTGTCTATTGCCAGGGAATGTTATGACCATTAGTACCAAAATGTTTTGGATTAGAGATTTTCACAGTCATCGGGTGGTTCTGTCCATCATTTGTCTTCTCTCTAAGAAGTAATGCTTGAATGCAACAAAGATTAGAAGGAAAGTAGAAAATTGGGAAAGAATGTTTAGTCTCTCTGATAAATGCCTCATTTCTAAAATACCTTGAGAATTAAGTCAAATTTATAAGAATACAAGTTATTCCCCAACTGATAAATGGTCAAAGGATATGAACA